GTGTAACGACCATATACTACCACTTTATAACTCAGGGTGACAGAGCACCCCTTCTCCGCCTTTGCAGGGACATATGGCGGGAGCGGTGATTAGGCCCCCAGCAGCCGGTGCGCAGACCTGGGGATTTAACAGTTTGAACAACGGTGCCGGGAGTCTCTAACCTAGTAGGAGCCCCGATAGTTCAGCTGTCTACACCAGGCCTGAAACTTTCCCTGGATGGGAGCCGGGTTCGGGTTATGACGGTTTCCTCGACTTTGGGCTTCAATCGTGCAGGTCGGTGAGGTTAGATGATGAAGTTTAAAGGAGAAAGGCCCAAGGTCTCAGAAGCCACGGTTACCTTCCCTCCTCACCAGCGGCTTCCGGGTTCGGAAGTAACTGCGCGTGCGCGGGTTTGGCAAGGGGGCGTGGTGGGGCCGGGGCTGACTCGCGGGGGGTGGCGGGGCGGGGAGGGGCGGGGCTCGGGGCGGCTGGGGCTCCGGGGACAATGAGAGGGCGAGGCGGGGCCGAAGCGCAGGGCGAGAACTGGGGTTAGGCTAGGGGTCTGCACCTGGGGCGCTTGGTTTGGGGTGAGCCCCAGGAACTGGGGAGGCGCGTGAAATGCTCTGCGTCCTAAAGGAGGGTGTGGCCTGTCCGGTGGGAAAAGTGGCGGAACCGATGCTGGAGCAGCTTTGCCTACTGGAGGGTGGAGCCCAGCCCCCAGGATGACCATGGTCAGCGTCGCCGGGGATGGAAGCTGGGCCCCTGCTCCTGTCCGCTTGCCTCAGTTTGTATTTTCTGAATTCTGAACCTGTGCAATTTCTTTTGTGCCCTGTAAAGCAGGACTACTCCCTTCCCATTTTAAGTTGATATTTCAAACTGTTTAATATAAAATTTAGAGTTCAGTGGGCCACTTACGTTGAAAGCTACAATGTCTTTGTTTTAACAGGATGAAAACGGATTTTCTCAAAACTTCCATTGGGAAGTGGTGGACTCGCCTGTGGGGACTGACAGAGATGCCAGCTGAACTCCAGCTCTGGGGTCTGAGAACCTGGCAGAGTTGTGGTGGAGTGATGATTGGAGGAACGACCCAAATAAGTAATATAATGAAGCAAGGAGTGCAGTTGTCTGTGCAGGAGATGCAAACTTGAAGGTAAAATTCAAAATTGTATCTGTGTGAAATTCAAAATTCTACCTTTGGGAAACAGGCCATCGCAGACCAACATCTATCAGAACACCATTTCCGTTCCCATTCCCCAATCACCCTGTGCTCAGATGAAGAGAATTCTATAAGGACAAGACCTGGAGGGATGAAGCATGTGATAATTTAGGTCACCGTCCATGCTTTAAAAAAAAAAAAAAATGCCACCCTAGCTGGTTTGGCTCAGTGGATAGAGCGTCGGCCTGAAGTGTCCTGGGTTCGATTGTGGTCAAGGGCACATGCTTGGGTTGTGGGCTTGGTCCCAGTGTGGGGCATGCAGGAGGCAGCCAATCAATGATTCTCTCTCATCATTGATGTTTCTACCTCTCTCTCCCTCTCCCTCTGAAATCAATAAACATATGTATTTTTTAAAATGCAGCAATAACTTACAAAATAGATATAAATTGTATTGTTATTTATATATTCGACACTTGAGGGGAATGATAAACTCCAACACCTTTGTTGAGATAAACTTTTCTGACAACATAATTAGTCATTAACTTCTGTGTATAATTCAATTTCAAATTTACTTTATATTTATGCAAAAAAGGAGTATTTTTATGCACTTTTTTATATTTTAGCTTGTTGCTTGTTTTCTACTTATGAAGTTCTCTCAGGTGTGGATAATAAATGTCTTGTACTGTTACAAGACAATAGAATTTTCCCTAGCTGGTTTGGCTCAGTGGATAGAGTGTTGGCCTTTGGACTGACAAGTCTCGGGTTCGATTCTGGTCAAGGGTACATGCCCGGGTTGCAGGCTCGATCTCCTGTTGAGGTGTGCAGGAGGCAGTCAATCAATGATTCTCTCTCATCATTGATGTTTCTATCTCTCTCCCTCTCCCTGCCTCTTTGAAATCAATAAAAATATACTAAAAAACAACAACAAGAAGAAAACCAAGATGGCGGCATAGGTAAACACCGGAGATTGCTGCCTCGCACAACCACTTCAAAAATACAACTAAAAGATGGAACGGACATCATCCAGAACCACAGGAAGGCTGGCTGAGTGGAAATTCTACAACTAGAAGGAAAGAGAAAAGCATACCGAGACTCAGAGGAGGTGCAGTGCAGAAGTAAAATACAAAGGTGCGGAGAGGGCTGTCGGCTGAGGACACAATTGTCTTTTTCAATCGGGAGGGAGTCTCAAGCTCTGAGCTCCAGTTCCGGGCGAGTCTCTGGGGACCCAGACTCATACAGGAGAAACGGAGACTGTCTGACATTGGTCGGAACTCGAGGGCAGCTTTCTTTCGGAGGTGCTCCCAGCGATTGCCGGGACCTCTGAGGGCAGGACTGAGAGCAGCCATACTGCTGGCTCGCTCAGCCCGCCCTGTTGATCCCCTGGGACCCTGCCCCGCCCAAGCCGTGCAAGGAGGCTTTTGCATATGAAAGACCCGGCCCTTTGTAATCTGAAAATTACTTAACAAACTGCAGCTGCCCCAAGGCCCCAGGGCAGCTTGCATTGCTTTACAGCTGGCTTCTGCTGGGTAGCCTCAGGCAGAGGCTAGATTAGCACCTCCTTAGATCCAAGAGCCAGT